CTAGAGAGAGTCCCGTTTTGAAAACTGAAAGAGCCCTCACAGAGAACACCACCCGGACTGGTGGCAGAATTTGCAGTGGCGGAAGTTTTATAGGGAACTTAACATATGCTCAAACTGAAATTTATTGGGTGCTTACTTTATGCCAGGCAACGTGCTGGGCCCCAGGGAGACAGAGATGAAAGACTTTCAGGGGAAACAGGCAAGCAGTGACAATCTAGTACATGCATTAGGACAGAGGTGGCTTTGGGGACACAAATGAGGGACACCTGATTTGGACTGTGGGTTGGCAGCCTTCCCAGAGGAGGTGCTCTGGGCTCAGTCATAAGACAAGAAGATATTAGACAGAGAGCAAGCAGGAGGCATGGTTGGTCCAGTGGGGTAGAAGGGGCGTGGGTGTCCAGGGGATTGCATGTGATTGCCAACGTAGGAAAGTTGAGCTTATGGGCAGAAGTGAGGGGAGAGGAGGCTGAAGCAGACAGCAGATCTCAGAGGGACTTACAGGTTGGGTCGACTTCATCAGAACAGTCACGGAGAGCTAACTGGGAGTCAGGTGATGCTAGAGGCTGTGTTGCAGAAAAATCTCTCTGGTTTCTTGGATTGATAAGCGTGAGACTGGAAGCAGGGAAACCAGGAAGGAGGTTGGAGGAGGCTGTGTTCTAGAAAGATCCCTCTAGCTGTCCCATGGAAGTGCATTGATGGCAGCAGGCCTGGGGACAAGTAGGCTAGGGAGGAGGCTGTCATTGGGGTTCAGAAGAAAGATCCTGAGAGCCTGAGCCAGGACACAGCAGAGGAGATGGAGAAAAGCCGAGAGCTATGAGGGAGATTTAGGAAGAAGAGATGATAGGACCTGGTAACTGCATGTGGGGAATGACAGAAAGAGTTATGGAAGATGCCCTGGTGTGCAGCTTGGGCGAGTGAGCGGACACGCTGCTGCCACTCAACATCGTGGGTACCGAGAGAAGAAATGGGTATGCAGTGAGGTTAGGCGTGGGCATAGTGCGCATTGTTACAACATAAAGACCCCCGCCCCCCCCTCCCCACCCCGCCGCCACCTGTCTCCAAACTCTAACTCCACAAGGAATTTCCTTGAATATGCTGATTCGGGCCCAAACTCCATGTTTCCTTTTTCCTTCCACAAAAGTATTTTCCTGTCTCAGTGTACAGGTCAGTCCTCCCAGATCCGGCTCATATAGACCTACCTTGGGCCCTTTGCCTATACCATGAGCTTGTCTACTCATCTTTCCAGGGCTCTATCCTCCTTTGGACTACATCTTCCTCCTACCTTGGCTCGCCTCACATGCAGAGGCGTTCTCTGGGGGGCCCTAGAGGGCTATAGGGCCTCACAGGGTCTGCGGACAAGCGGGAGTAAGAAGCTCAGGGAAACATGCCTGAGGCGCCATCCCACAGACCCCCATTCCTTCACCGAGAGCCCCTCGGGCTTCCATCTCATTAAATACCTTACTCTGAAAATGAAACAGAAAGAATTCAGACAGACAACCCAGCAGGGGAGGCCCAGTCAGGCAGGTGCCGCCACACAAGGGTGTCTGCGAGAGGTGATGACACTCTGCCTGTTATCTTGGGGCATCTAGGCAG